AAGGAAAAAGGATATTAGCTAGCATTGAGAGATAAGTAATATGTCTATTTCAAGTCCAAAGTCAGGCAGCTGGTCACCATCAAAGGAAGGAGGTATGCAGAAATCAAATATCTGGTCCCAAATGACACATCCACCAAGTAGCTGAAATGCAGGTTTGAGCCTGGGCCTTTGCAACTCCATGGGTCACACTCAGTGACATTAAGGAGCATCCTACTATGGGACCCATGCAAAACCAAGACCCTTCAGTGGCAACCATGGCCTCATATCCCAGCTCCTCACTTCCTATAGGCTTGGCATTGGCCCCTTGCACCTTTCACAGTCACTTGTTTCCCTGGGGATGGTGGGGAGTGGGAGGGAAAGTGAGCAGGTGTTATTCTGGTGTTCAGAAACCTTCTCTTCAGATCCCAAAGCTCCTCTGCCTTGATCATACTATCACACAAACCCAGGGGCAAGCCAGCTACGCGACATGAAGGGGAGATGCTCAGAAGTTGCTGGTTCTTAAAAGGAACATCTAAGGGCATCCTGGGAAAGGTCCAGGACAGGCCCACCATGGTCACCAACAAGATCAAGCGGGATCTTCGAGGGCTGTGTTCTGACTTGTACTGGTTTCCCCTAGGCTTCTTGGCACTTGGCACGGATCTGTTCGCTCCAGCTTCAAGTGACTTTCAGTATTACGGGGCTCAGTACCCCAATGCCTTCTTCCTATACTGATTTGGATTAGGCATGGGAAGAGGGCAGAGCTGTCAGTGGTCTGCCTGGTGTGGTCGTGTGTAGACTCATCCTACCTCCCTGGACGTTGTAGAACACCCCACGTGAAGCTGGAATGGTGGCAAGCTTGTGACATGTGGCCCACCTCTAATTCTATAATTTGGCTAAAATCGGAGAGAAACATTCCATTGACTGAGCCCAAAGTGGGGAACGAGGGGGGGCGCCTGGGTGGCTCAGTGGGTTAAAGCCTCTGCTTTCAGCTCAGGTCATGATCCCAGGGTCCTGGGATCGAGCCCCACATCGGGCTCTCTGCCCAGCAGGGAGCCTGCTTCCTCCTTTCTCTCTGCCTGCCTCTCTGCCTACTTGTGATCTCTCTGTCAGATAAATAAATAAAATCTTTAAAAAAAAAAAAAAGTGGGGAACTAGGGGAGTTTACTCCAGCCCGTGGTGTGGAAGGATGAGGTGAGTGGTGGTGGTGGCAGGAGGTGGGGGAGGGGCCCTAGTCATCAGACTTTGGATCAGAATCACCTGTCTTGCTTGTAAAAAGTACAAAATGGGGGGAAGAAGAGAGGTGGGAAAAGATATTGAAATCTAGAGCTGAAGCCTAGAAATCTCTCCATTTAGTAAGCTCCCCGGGAGATTCTTAATTAGGTGGCTTTCATCTAGCAGCTACCCCAAACTGCTCTCAATTATGCAGACCCATCATCAGAATCCTGGCTCCATTGCTTGGGTGCTAGGTGGCTTTGGAGGGGCACCCACATCCTCTGAGTTTTAGCGTCCCCATCAGGATAAGCCAGAACAGTGATATTAACATAAACCACAAGATTGTTGTGAAGATAAAATGAGAAAATATAAATGAAATATTTAGAAATAATACTGCATTTTGTCTAAATGAGTGGCTGGTTTTGGAACAAAGTTGCATCTTCTGCTGATACAGACAGTGAAGCCAAAAAGGCTGGTGCAGAAAAGTCCAAGGATACAGCTGGTATGGGTCCCACCTGGCCAGGAGAGAACAGCCTTGAAATCTGTAAAAATCTGTAAAAAGCTTGCCTGGTGGGGGCCCTTCTGTCCCTCCTGCCTTTCCCCTCTGCCCCATTCGGTTCTCTGGGGAAATGACTTCAAAATCCATTCATGGATCCTGTTCCCTTATCTTTTCATGAAACAGCTCTCCTGTGGCCCCTAGGTGGCTCAGTCCGTTAAACATCCGACTCTTAGTTTCAGCTCAGGTCATGATCTCGGGGTCCTGAGATTGAGCTCCTCGCTGGGTGTGAAGCTGCTTAAGATTCTCTCTCTCCCTTTCCCTCTGCCCCTTCCCACCCCACTTGCACACACCCTTTCTCTCTCCAATACATAGAAAAATGAAATCTTTAAAAAAAGGGGGGAGCGGGGAAGGCTCTCCCAGCTTCTGAGAAAACTCCAGGCTTTCCTATTCAGTGAAAGGGAGAGTTCTGCTGGCCCAGGGGAAGAGCAAATTTATTTCTTTTCATGCTTTAAGACATTATTGGCTGCATATTGTTTTAATGCGGCGCATAATTACAGAAACCGCTCTGAAAATCTGTATATTTTATCTGTGCTTTATTGTACCCAGAATATTCCCCAATTCTTTTTTCTTCTACATGAACCAGCTTAAAATATATTTTGGAGTCCTTTTTGTCATCTTGAAATTGAATAGCCAATTCTTACTGTAATGAAAATACTTACGCGCCAGCCTGGTGATATACAGCACTACAGTCTAATTACAGCTGTGCTTTAATTAACCTGAATTGAAGAGTGTTATCATTAAACTGCTGGTAACTTTGAGTTATGGCTTTTCTTTAATTTAAAGTAGAAAACACAGATAATTAAGCCTCCAGATAATCAAATGCTTGAGGAGAGCGTCAATGTTTTGGGATGTTCCTAAATCTCATTAAATGTCCTTTCTTTATTGATCATCCCTACCTCTGTTGTATCATTGTGCTGAACGAATAATAGCACTAAGTTGAACACTTTCTCACTCACATCAGAAGTTTGGGTTTGGTTTTTTTTTTTTTTCCATTCCAGAAGCCGTGCTGAACAAATATGAAATTGTCGGACAACAAGGTGTGTCTGAAAGATACTCTCCTCCTCACAACATGTTCTAAATGGGAAAATCAATCAAAACCAGCAGCCGCTGGGGTCCAGCTCTTGAGCTGGCTCCGAAGGGCAAGGAAATCTCACACCACCCAGTGTGTCAGAGTCGGCAAACTCACGGGTCTACGGGGCCAGGCCTGCGATATCGATGCCCCGGGTTTAAGGCATCAGAGAGGGGAGGACCCACACTTAACCCTTCCTTCTAACAAACTGGAGCCAGTCAGCAGCCGGTGGAAATGCAAGTCCTGTGTTGGCTCCTCAGATACTCGAGAGATGCCAGACATCTCGTTTTTATGTGAAACATCTCTATTTTGAAATATTGGCAACTCACTTGAAGACCTGAAACACGGTGTGGGGCAAATCTGCGAGTCCGATGTACCTTGTGGGATCCCAGTTACAGCCTCCAGGGAGAGTGGTTCTAACCCTCCAGGTTAATACTCAAAAAATGAACTGACTTGGTTCCCAGGAGCAGAATAAGAGAAGCAGTGGGAATGCAGGCTTCAAAGGAAGCACTCATAGTAGACATACACAGTGGGCAAGCCAGGGAAAATCAACAGTCAAGGAGCACATCTTTACACACCTCCCCTGCTAATGCCCCCTGCACCATAGGACCCCTCTGGGCATTGGCGCCTTTGCAGGGTGCTCAGGCCACCCCTACATCATATAGGAAGTCTCAAGTGTTTGGTTTGGTTTGTTTTTTTTTTAATAGAACCAGCTTCTATTAAATGTTCTGAATTCTCCCGGGCTTTCTATCCCAGGCAGGCCAAATTCCAAGGTGGAGAAAATCCCCTGGGACAGCCTCAATGTTCCAGGACCCAATGCCTATGAACGGTTAACTTCTTTCTGTGGCAGAAAGAGAAATAGCTCTAAAAGAAAGGAGCACATGGGAGTTACAATAGGGCATCCATTTTCAGAAAATAACTCCTTCCGAATCAATTACCTATTCACTTTTCCAGTCCATTTAGCATTTAAACTTTCGCTTAGAGACAGGGTGAGAAATTTCAGTAAACAGCCAGACCATTTTGGATTGCTTAGGGTCTGGGCCCAGAGACAGATAGTGTACACCTGCTGTGTTCACTGACAGGAGTCTCCAGGCAAACACCAAGATCCCAGGTGCTCCATCCTCTCTCTGCTGTGCACAGAGCACAAAGCTCTAAGACAGAGGAGCCAAGGGCCCCCAGCACTATGGCCTTCAGACCTTCCCTTCCAGAAGATGGGTTTTGTTTGTAGGCATCCAGACAGCTCAAGGGAACAGCTTTTCTTCCTCAGGCTAGTGGGTTCCCAGATCCCCTTTCTTCCCAGTCTTTATCAGTGAGACTGAGGTTATCAAGTCTTTTGCTGAAGTGTCAGTGGATCGGGCTTGATGTTTCAGCATTCCCAGGGAGTCTGTGTTTCCACAGGGGACAAAGCCCCTGTTTGACTTACACCCAACATCTGAGATTCTAAGTGGGAAATCTGAGGCATCATCACGATGCAAGTTTCTCGGGTCCTGGAACCCTTAGAACTCTTGAGGCCATATCCCTTAGATGGTCATCTACTTTACTTGGAGAAGCCATGGCAGGCTGGGGCTGCGTTTTGCTCAAATCCCTCCCCCTGAGCCAACACAAGGAGAAGCTAAGCCCTCTCATTGTCATAACATGCCGGTTGTCCGTATTAGGGGCTAAATTACTAAGGGCTATCTCAAGGTTCCCTTCCACGTATTTGGTCCCACATTTTCTCCACAGATCATGAACGTGCTTCAAATAATGGCTTCTCTGATAGCTCTACTATCTGATTTGACTGGAAAATATTAAAATTCATTTCATCAAGTGGCTAGCAAGATTTGTTTTCATCCTGATAAAATCAGAAACATGGGTTCCTAGCACCCTTCATAATTGTGTCCTACGTGGCAGAAGCCAAATTTAAGACATGCAGGAAAACTGTAGTGCATAATTTAAGGCAAATGATGGATCTAAGCATAAGGTTCTCAGAGCTACAGGAAAGAGCAGGGCCAGTGAAATCCCCAAGGCAGGAACCACATACTGACCCACCTTCCTGCTCACCACATAAGATGGAGCACACAGGATATCCTTGGTAGTTGTTGAGTACCCTGACCGTGTTGGGCAGAGATGAGGAGTCTTTTCTGCAAGGGCCACCTTAAACATCCCTGAGGGCCAAAGAGCACATGGTGAATGTTCACTTACTCACAAACGGTAGGGAAGGACAGACCCACGAAGGCACTGGAGAGATATTCTGTGTACATTTCATTTGAGACTCCTTCCAAGTAATATTTCTGCCACGTGTCTTCCTCAATCTAGGAGAGAAGAACACAGGAGGTTTAAGGTATGACAGCACACCATAAAAGGGAAACCAGAGTTTACCATTTGGCCAATGAATGAATGCCCTAGTTATGGGATGGCAATAATCTTCAGCAACCAGGAACACAACCACACCATCTACAGCAAGCTTGCTATGACCCTAAGCTCATAGAAAGGAAGGTCATGTCCTCTAAAGCACCACTCTTTTCCAACCTGTATGATTCCCAAGGGTGTGGAGGCAAAGGCACTCACCCACAATACTGGTCGACAGGTAAATCGATACAATTTTTCTAGAGAGCAATTTTGCAACTGTTAACAAAAAATTGTAAAGTACATGTTCCTTGACACAACAATTTCATTTCAAGTGTTCATAGCAAAGAAACAGATAGACATATGTAGACATTTGTAGAACATCCTTTTAAGGAGAAATTGGAAATAACCACAAATGGTACATTTTTCAATGGAATACAAAGAAACAATTAAAAATTATGGCGAAAATGTGTATCTGTTCATATAGAAATGATATAAAAAGACATGTGACTAAATATTGCTGATAGTCTGACCGTACTAAAAATAAATAAATAAATAACCTATAATTATCTGAGTGCTTGTAAAGCCAAAGAAAAACTAGAAAACTTTATACCAAAACACTAACCATTGTTATCTGAATGGTAGAATGACACTTTTCTCTAGAGATTTCTGTTATCTGAAGACTTTTACAATAAATGTGTGTGCGCATGTGTGTGTGCACGTGTGTGTGTGTGTGTGTGTGTGTGTATAAAACAATAAAACAATGTATATTTCTACTTTGGGGGAAAAAAGATTTTTCCAACCACACTTTGAATATCACAAAAAGTAAAATGTAGTTTCAGAGAGGTCTTACTCCATATCTCATTAAAATGTGTGGTTTTTTAAAATTTCTTCTAATTAATCAATCTCAAATGGTTTTCTTAACAACTCTCTTCATGCTAAGCACTTCTGGAAGGATTTTACATTGGAATTGATCTTTAAAAATTATAAAGTGAAGAACAACAAGAATGCTGAGTCCCTCTGGGAGCTCAGGGAGCTCAGGATTCCCAAGGCAGGCAGGCTGTGTGGTCCCTGGGAGTCTGCAGCCTCCCACGTACACCTCTACTGTGTACATAAGTGTGTGTGTGGTGGGCGGGGGGGAGATGAGAGCTCTCCAGCCAACAGGAAGTGACTTTTTACAACATCTTGTGCTGATGTTGAATTAAAACTCTTTTTGCCTATGGCCCAATAGTCACTTCACTAGGGAAATGCAATGCTGGAAGTTGAAAGAGACTTGGAAACAGTGGGAAATGAACACCGACCAGGTACTTGGTGACATTCTGGAATACAAAGAAGGCAGGAAAGAGTTAGAAATAAATTGAACGCTCCCTGCTTCTACGCTATTTGTCTGCTTTGCGCAAGTCTGGATGATTAGAGTATGGGGTTAACCTCATTAGTTTGAGCTGCTTCTAACCTACTCCCACACATTAGACATTAGCTATGCAATGCTGCTGGGTATGGGTTGTTTATCTACAAATTGGTCTTCCCCAGAGTGGGGTCCTTAAAAAAAAGGCACTCAACCATTTCTACTGCTAAACTGTATGATTTTAAAAATGAACTGGAATGTGTTTAACTAAGCATAAACTTTTTAATTTCCCTGAATCCTAAGAGTTCAACTTTTTTTTTCAAATAAAAGATATTTCTGACTTTATAAGCAAAGGTCATTAATTCTAACTAATTTGAAGACAGCTTAGTCTGCATTAGTAAATAAACTGAAGTACAGAATATTTGGGGCATTATAGTATCATAATTTGTTTTATTGGTAAATAGGATACTTATGTGAGGACTTGCCAATTATAAATCCTCATGGTAGAGCTTTATGGGAAAATAGTATTTTTGAAATGGAATAATTCAGCCTAATCTTTCAGCAGAGATACTCCCTTTTATAATGTGCTATTTGTGTTGCTACTTTTACAGTTAATTTTCAAAAACAGTGAAAATACGAACTTTTATCTCAATTATTATTGACTGTTGGTTGTATTCCTCAGTTAATATAGTTTTAACATGGGTCTTTTAATTATGGTCAGTATTTTCATGCCTATGTGTCCTAACGGAACTACTCTTTTGACCAATTTTTATTGTAGGTTAATCATTAAACATTTTTACTAAGTAGAAACTAAGATTTGCAGGATAACAATATTATTCATGTTTGTTTTGAACACGGCAAATATTCATTAATTCATTCAGCAAATATGTATCAAGCATATCCAGTATCTCAGGTCCTATTCCAGGTGCCAATTAAACCTTACTTAAACTGGTATTTATTTTCCTATATTTTTCTCTCTGCTGGAAAAAGCACCAGATATGTCTAGCTACGTTATATCTGACCAGATATACCTGACTTTTATTGATTTTTTCCCCATACTTTTTTTCCTACAGGTTTTGTCTTTGTGGCTAATCTAGAACTCCTAAGGAACTCAATGTCAAAATAACTGGAAATATATACAGAACTTTTCTGGAAAGAAAAAAACGCCTCTTCTACATCCGTATGTGGATTCTCAAATGGCATCTACAATGTTAGATACAGTAGTACTGAACAGATTCCTCAAATACTGATTGGTTTCAGTTCATTGTTATAAACTTTTAAGTCGCCACATCTTTTTTTTAAAGGATTTTTTTAATCTATTTGAGAGAGAGAGAGAGAGAACACGAGCACACAAGTGTGGGGAGCAACAGGAAGAGGGAGAAGCAGACTCCTCACTGAGAGGAGAGCCCCAATGGGGCTGAATCCCAGGAACCCGAGATCATGACCTGAGCCAACGTGTCAGATGCTTAACCAACTGAGCCACCCAGGTGCCCCAAGATTCCCACATATTTAACACTGTTTTCCATACAAGTAAGTCAACATGCTTTTGAGGTTTCTGATAAAGGTGTTATGCATACATATGCACACACACTTAAAAATGGTTAAAATGCTAAATTTTATGTTATAAAAAAAAATAAACCCATATCTATAATTGTAAGAGCAGAAGAGTCAGTAATTATAATTAATACAAAGACTTCTTAATCTGTAAGGGCAAGAATGACTAGTTGGGACAGATCAACGACAAGAATAGGCCAGTAACATCAGGAGAACCAGGGAATGAGCCTCAGCCTGTGACATGGACACTGCTCATGCCATGGGCTCAGACAGCCAAGCTGCATCATTATCCCAAGGCAAGGCTCAAACTACCTATCACTTCTTACCGAGGTTTACATTTCTAAGTCTCAAACATGGCCTCTTTAACTTAACTTTGAAAAAGCAAAGATGAAAGTACATATTCCTTTTTCCTTTGTCGGCAGTAATGAAATGCAGGCTTTTTTTTTTTTTTTTAAGTAGGCTCCATGCAAGCCCCAATGTGGGGCTTGAACCCAGGACCCTAAGATCGAAACCTGAGCTGAAGTCAAGAGTCAGGCCCTTAACCCACTAAGCCACGCAGGCATTCCTGAAATGCATTCTCAAGAACAGAAAAATAAATGTAAAATGTGTTGAGTTGAAAACATCTGTGCTTCACACGAGTGAAAAACGCAGTGAAGGAAGGATCTAGAAAGGGTGGGACAAGTTATTGTCATTATGATTTCTCTTTTACAGACAAGAGATGACAGGATAAATATATAAGGAAGGATTGGGGCTAGGATTTTGGGGGGCAGGGTGGATTTACTGCACATAAGTACCTAAGGGGGGAAGACTGGAATCAAAGCTCATCAAGGTCTCAAAATCTTAAACCCTGGAGCCCATGACCTTCTGAGAGGTCGATGAGGAATAACACTAATTTTGAGCTGTGCTGAGAGGGTGGGTGTAGCATGGCGGCAAACGGAACCACCCCAGCCTACAACTTCTTTCCACACTATTCTCCAGATTTGTGTTGTGCAGATATTTTTAACTGTAATGTAATGTACACACTTCCCAGCAGAAAAATGAAGGAATGGGACCAAAAATGACTTAAGGAAAGGTGCCAAAATTAATTTGCCAGCCATTCAGTAATCAGTCAAAGGCAAAGCATTTCCCAAGGCAGCCATCTCTCCTCTGGCTGTCACATCAAACTTCAGCTGTTTCAGAAGAGCAGAGACGAGCAGGTGATGTGCTGTGGCTTTTATTCATCAAATACTCACAGAACCTTCAGCGAGAAAGGAAATTGAGCCATTGGGTTGGCTCATCTACATTTCTCACCGGCTTATTTATGTTGTCTTCATTATCTAATTTTTCAACCGGTCTAATCCAACCCCCACCCTCCAAGTAAATGGTTGTACACAGATTCATGGGCGGCCAGCTCTAGCATCAAAGAGTACCTTCCAGCTGGAAACAGGAGCTTTGGCTCCAAAGGAAGTAACACCTACTTGATCCTAGATTCTGCATGTGTTACTAATGGTGGGTCAGTAATGACACCTTTTATTTTTTATGCTTTTTCTGATTAGAGTGAAACTGTGTTTCTCTAATGCTAACAGCCCAGTGAATGTGAAAAATCAGCCATCCTGGCTGGGGTAGGCAACAACCATGGCGCTTTCTGTTTCCAGCAAAGAAAAGACTCTGAATAACTGTGGTGACTCCAGTCAAAGAATTTTGCTAACATCGATCCCCACATCTGGAGTCGTGTAAATAATTCCAGAAATTATCGTATACCAATCCTTATTTAATTGAAAATGAGTACACCGTTTTTACCTAAATATATTTCTATAATGCACCTCAGAAATAATGGATTAAAAGGAAATGATAACAACCAATGATCATGAGGTTAATAGTTATAATAAGAAGAGGTAAGTCGTTGGGGCACCTGGGTGGCAGTTGGCCCAGCACCCAGCTCTTCATTTCGGCTCAGGTTGTAACGTCATGATTCTTGAATTCAAGCCCCACAATGAGCTCTGCGCTCAATGGGGAGTCTGCTTGAGATTCTCTCCTTCTCCCTCCCCCGTACTCCCCCGCCCCACTCCCGCATGCATGCGTGCCTTC